TGACATTAGAGAGTGACACTGGCGATCTCTGAAGAGCCACGCTCTGTGCTGCAGGACAACAGGCATCTACTGTCTGAAGACCACCAGCAACAGAGAGGTGGCAAAACATGCACTGGCTGAAAAATGGTATGTGCTTCCCACACGCTCTTTGACACCTTGACACCCCTATTTCTTATGCCGCTGCCGGAGCAGATGCCTGTCCTTTCCTTCAGCCCAGGTCTCGAAGAAACGTGCCCGCCTCACCCAGCACTGCTATACTAAAAAGCTGTCTAGCACAGGCATAGTCTACGTGAGGGCAAGACTGCTCTTCCTAGCATAGTTTTGCCCTGATTTCAGAGGCATATCACCCAAGACAGCCACACCAGACCAGCTGCATCTACACTGGGGTGTTTAGCAACACAAAAGCACGTGCCTGACATCTCATGGCATTGCCTCAGCCCAAGTACACACCTGCCTAAAGCAAATGTGGGGAGGAGGCTGTGTGGGAATCGGAGACTGTATTTGCTCACGGAAGCTATTTTGGGAGAAACGTACAGCGCTGAATGTCATCTTTTCATCAGTGTCAAATTATCGTTCAATTCAACAGGACGACGCCGGTGAACACCCAGATAATCACACTGCCATTGCACACGTGCAAGTTTGTGCGCACACACACACCTGCCTAAGTCCTGCCCAGGCCACACGTTCCCATCTGCTTCGATGCTCACCTCCGTTCAGCCCAAGGTGTCCTGAAGGTCAAGAAAAGCAGGCTCCAAGCTGTGGCTGTCAGCCTGCCAGCCTTCCTAAATCTCAAGTGGCTTTAGCATGACAAACAAAAGGGTAGCCGCGCTGCAAGGAAGCGTAACAAACAGGCCCCGTCTGCTGGAGATCTGTGTCCTCCACCCTCCTGCCCCTCTGTTGCAGCCACTGCAGCTCTTTCCGATGTTCTCCCACATCCACCCCTGCCCTGGAGACCACCCGCACCTCACGAGGTGGCCAGAGCTACAAAGGTGCTGCTGAATGTTTGACCACCACACTTGCAATGCCTGGCCAGGCAGCTGCCACCAGGCAGAGTGGAGAAGAGCTGAAAACAGTCTCTTTTTCTCCAGAGAGAGCGCTGCTTCAAAGATGTCCCAGCTAGCCACTAATCTTATCAAGTGGGAAATTAATGATCTTCAAGACTGCCAACCATTGGTGCAATCTGGCCGAAACTGGCCAAACACAAAGGGCAGGAGACAGACAGCACTCATTTGCTGGAGAAACTAAGTTAAAATGAAATAAAATAAAACTAGATGAAAACTATGGTGCATTTAATTAGTCGCGTTTCCACATTCTGGTACGTCCCAGGAAACGACAACTTGCTGAATCAAGCCTTGGAGTTGTACAGCACACACTGCAGTTAAGCTCGTAACTGCCCAGCTTTCAGGCATCTGGAGCAGGAAGGGGCAAATTACAAACTCATTTACATCTGAAGGTTACTCTGAAGGGGGACTTTCTGCTGCAGGGAGGTGGGGAGGGCAAGGTCATTTCCATCTGATAAGGGTGAAACGCCTTGTCAGGGCTGAAGGACTATTACTCAGCTTTAAGTGTGGAAGATGCTAGGGCTCCTCTCTCCTTCAGAAGCCCCAGCCCTGGAGGTGATCTCATCTCAGAGATTTCAGCATCTCTCCCCCCCCCACCCTCAGCCCACGCTGCTGGCACTTGGCCACCTGCACCCAGAGGGTGCCTTTGAGGCAGGGGTCGGCTCTGCTGCAGTCGGACCAGCAAATGCCAAGCCCTTGCCAGCCCAAGAAAGGGGGAGATGCTGCACGATTAGCCTGTGCTGATGAGGGCTCGCAGGGTTTCCTCCAACACCGCGCAGTTTGACAGACCATGCTACAGAGCTACATCAGTTCCAAAGGCTCCTCTGCTCCCTTCACAGAGCACAGCACAGCAGCAGAAAACCTATTTGTGTAGAAAACAGCATCAGCATCAGCAAAGCGAGCCGGCAACTCTGGACAGCCTCAGAAACGGCTGTGGAACTCCTCTGGAAGAGCTGCTTAGTGCAACAGGGGAGGAAAAGTGCAGCTTCCCATCTCACTTCCTGCCTACCCGCACACCGGGTAGAGGCAAAGCATAAGAACAGGAGGGAATTTAAGGCATGCCAGGATCCCAGGCTCTGGAAACAGAGTTTCCCACATTCTTCAAAAAAAGAAAGCACTCACGCCCAAAACCATCGGCCTTGAACTCAGATTGCACACCATTTACTCATCTGAATAACCTCGCTCAAGCCAGTGGAATTACTTGCCTGAGTAACTGCTATTTGATGTACAGAAGGGCTGCGTAACTGGCTGACAAATAAATACAGGTGTACAGAAGGCAATGTAAGACTACCCTTTTAAAAGGCTGGTGCCCTAGGCCAGGACCCAAAGTCAACGGCCATGTGGTCAAAAATATAAATCACCGGGTCTTTGGTAAAGCCATGCCAAATGATCAGGGCATCATCAAGATCACATGCATCCCTCTGGACCTATATCCTTCAGGCACCATCAACTGATTAGCATCACAGTCTGAAAAATATTTCACAGACTTAGAAAACTAAATTCAGCTTGAAAGGATAGCTTGAGCACTTAAGGTGTATAAGCTTCATTAGCTTCCAGCAAGACTTAAGAGTCCCAAGCAGAAATTAATCCTCCAGAAAACTCCAGCAGAGAAGCACCGCTGCTCCTACTCTGTTGGTACTGGCCCTAAGTAAGGTCAGCTCATCCATACTGAACACAAACACAATCCAGCATTCGTTCTCAGCACCATGCAAGCAAAAAAGATGTGCAGTTCACACCCTGGAAAGCTTACAAGAGCAGTCCTGATCTTAAAATCTTTGCATGCAGACTTGCTTGTGAGTATCCCTCTTAAGTTTCACTAGGACAACATAGATGACTCAAGTTAAAACTGTGGTGAAGCCTCCGTCAGACTGTGGCTGATGGAGCTCCTGCTCCAGTTCATCTAGAGGTCAAGGTGAGAACCCTGAACTGGAGCAAGGAACAGGTACAGCAAAAACATAACCAGGGATTTTGGCAAGGCTGGAGGCCCAAGTGAGGTGTTTGGGGAAGGGTGAGCAGTGCCCAGAAGCATCTACCTGCCCGTTCCCTGCGTGCTCTGCTAAACCATAGTGTATCTTTGGGTGAGCGGCTCCTTCTGAGTTATTGCATTTGCATGTATAATTTAAATACATTATATTAAGGCCAAAATAATATTTACTCCTGCTGGCACTTCTAATCTGGATATTCCACAGCACTGTCCAGTCCTCCCAGAAACTTCATAAGATAAAACTTCATCAGGTGTGGCCCAGTCGACTTTCCTTCCCCCAGAGAAGCAGCAGAAAACAAACATCTTTTTCATTTGTCTTCACATGCCAAGCAAGCTGTCCAAACCCTCTGACAGACCTTACAGGTTTGAACCAGAGGGCTGGACTTCTTAACTATACAGCCAACAAAAGCCTGTGCATGGTGGGAATTTTCCACAGAGCCCCGTCCCGACAGACACGGGCACACCAGTGCCACAGCCAGCACCCAGCTCTGCAGTCCTGGGTCAGGGCTACTCTTATGTTTCGCCTTTCATGCAATTAGCAAGAAGCTGAAATCCAGTCGCGCACCGTTACATGGCCAGGAATAGCATTTCCATCAGATTTTTTTCCTAAATTGCTATTCTTATCATCCCATGAGCTCCGTATTAGTTCCGGCTCAGTGGGCATTTCAAAAAGGCCCATGAACCCAGCCTGGGTACAGGAATGATAAAAACAGGACCTTCGTATACATCAGAAGTTGGAAGGTTACAAATATTCTCCTATGGCCTCAATCAGACCTAAATGTGTATCAAAAGAAAATATCTCTGAAATGTACTGTAACAACCAAAAAAAAAAAAAAAAAACAAACAACAACGTGAACTATATCGGTGAGAAGGAGAAAAAGAGTTTCAGTGAGGAAACGAACAGATGAATTACTGTGCTTATAGTTCAATCGATAGGACCTTACCAACAGCCTGTTTGCTTTCTTCTTTTTTTCAGACACCTATTACACAAACACACACCCTGACTGAACGCCTCCCCAGCTCACAGCCTGGTGCACCCATCTTAAGCGTGTCCCCACTGCAGAAGGAGCCCCCCCACCGGACAAAAACCGGTCGGAACAAAGCGCCCGGGGGATGGATGTCGGCAGGGTTCATCAATCCCGTTTTTGCAGCTCGCCCTCAGTCGGGAAGCAGCATCTAACGCCGTAACAAACTCGGACTGCTGCCGCTCTGCAGAGCGGGGATCCTACCTGGGCAGGCGGCTTCACGCCTCTCCTCTTGGCTGGTTAAAAACATAAAAGCCGTTTTCAAAAAAAAAAAAAAAAAAAAAAAAAACAGCGAGATGTCTAGCACTTATTGACAGCGCCCGAGTTACCGCGTATCTTCTCCGCTAACTGCCAGCATAAGGAAGAGAGAGGGGAAACAGACCCCCCACAAAAAAAAAAAAAAATATAAAATAAAAAAAAAAAAGCAACCCAAACCCAACGCCAAACCCCCAAGAGGAACAAAGGACCCCCGGCCAAACCCCGTCGGTAAGTTATCCGGATTTACTTGCCCCGCAGCACAGGGATAACCCTCCTCCGCCGGCAGCGCCGCCGCGACCCCGCCGGGTTTCAGAGTCACCCCCGGGACGCGGCGGGGAGCGGGCGGCCCCACGCACGTTTCGGCGGGTCACCGGGCCCTCGCCTCGCGCCGGGCTGCGCCCCGCCGGGGCGGGGAGGGGACGGGCGGCGGAGCCCCCGGCTGTGCCCGCACCCCGTTACGAAACCCGCGGCTCCCCCTCGCCCGGGTGGGAGGGAGGGAGGGACCGGGGGGGGGAGGCGTGGCGGGGGGGCATCCGCGGCGGCCCCGCTCCCCGCCGGGAAGGGGAGAAGGGGAGGAGGGAAAGGCGCCCCGCCGCTGGATCTCCCGCACGCCGGCATCGCCCGCCGCCCCCCCACGAGGGCTGGGGGGGGGGGGGGGGGGGGTCCACTGACCTTGCCGCCAGCCGCCGCCGTGCCTGCCCGCGGGCTGGCAGAGCCCCGCCGCCGCCCCGGCAACCGGCACCGCCCCCCCCCCGCCCCACCGAGGTGGGGCCGAGGCGTTGGGGAGCGCCCGCCCCGGCCCCCGGTGAGCCCCAGCCCGGCCCAGCCGGCCGCCGCTCCGTCGTTTAAGCAGCGGGGGGGGGGGGGGGGGGGGGGGGGGGAGGCAGCCGCGGGCACCCCCGGCTCGGCCCCGCTGGGGGGTGGAGGGGGAATGGCAGAGCTTGGGGAGGGGGGGGGGGCTCCTCCGCGCCTGGGAAGGGCTCTCCGCGGTTTTCCGATGCGGGTCGTTACGCGTCTCGGCACGGGGCGAGGGGGCGGCGGGCGCCCCCCGGGGCGTCCCCCGTGGGGCGGCGCGGGGAGCAGCGCCGACCCTGCGCACCCACCGCGCTGCCACGAGGGGTGCGGGGCTGTCAGGCAGCCCACGCAAGGCAGGTTCTCCGGCTCAGGGAACTGGTGCTTTCAGCCTTGAAGACCCTCCATCCCGGCTGGAGGCTCAGAGCTGTATAACTGGCGCACGTTAAAGTCAGCAAGAGGTACGTGGGGCATCTGTGTCTTACCAGAGCAGACCCGGGGCTGGGCGAGGGAGCAAGGCTTCCTTTTCATGCACTGCACCAAGGCCTATCCCTCCTCCAGAGCACAGGACCACAGACTCGTTTCTGCTCTGCCTGCAGAGAAAACAATCCTATTTACATCAGCAGTAAAAGGAAAAAATGCGTATGTACCTCCTAGCGTCTCACATGGGATCAGTAATGGCAAGCAGCAAGAGCTACAAATGGCAAGGGCAGGCAAGCGTCTTTCCACTCTTCAGTGTCTCATCTTTCTGCAGAGCCAGTGTTGTTTTGGGGCAAGCAGTTGCAAGTGGTGTGAAAGCAGACCGGCAGGTTATCCAGGTGCTGGTTTTGGTTAGAACAGCCCTCTCCCCCCCAGCTTCTCCAGCTCCACACTGAAAGCATTGGCTGTGGAGGAGTACAGACCTCTATAATCAGCAAAATAAATAATTTTCACAAAAGTCTACTTGGTTTCCTGCCCTTCCTTCTCCCTACTCTCCTCTGCAGCAAGGCTGTTTGCAGATCAGGGTCTCCAGCAAACCAGGCTTACCACTGGGGAGAGTCTATAGTGCATTCACCAGTACAACTCCAGTTTCTGACATAAATAGTTAAAACTCAATTACCACTCTCAGAATGAACGTTTGAAGCAGGTACTCACATCCCACAGTGTTTCTTGGTTCAAACTTTCCTAATCAAATAATTGAGATAATACAGGAGAAGTCAAATAGACCAAATTTTAGCCACCAGTTTGAGTCTGGTTCCCCCCTCATGTCTGCCTCCGAAGCATTAGTCACTACCATCTCTGACCTCTCACAATGTATTTTACAGCACAGGCTTCATTTTAGCACACACAGCTGACTTTCGCTTCTCTGCTGATCGACTAGAAGGACCATGTGAAAGATTTCACTGCCCTCCCCGTCCCTCAACACCCAGCTAACTAATCTGAAGAGCAAACTCCCCATTTGCTTCCCCCGAGGCTTCCCTTAGCTGGGCAAGGGGACAGGGGCCTCCTGCCACCCCCACCCCCTCTTGGGGACAGGCCATGACCCATGGCACCTGCCGTGACCCACACCTTCCACCTGGCTGCTCAAGATTCTCCAGGTTTTGCTCATAAAAAGCCCGTTGAGATGATGGGGAGGGGGGCTGCACGACAGTTTTTACAATTTAAGGAGATCCTTACACCAGATTCACATCAGGTAAACATCGTGTAACATCCTGTTTTTGAAGAGACACACCGAGTTTGGGAGGCACAACTCCTTACATGCCTCCTACCATTCCCTAGACCAGTTCCCCCTTTCCTCCTTAGAAAACAAGTGGCAGCTACTGCCCCCAAGCAGGGCTATGGTACCAGATCTCCATGGACACAAGAGGGGAAAATTCATTACAAAATGCAAACAAATGTCCCTCCACCTAAGCACCAGCCAGCACTGCTGCAAATGATGTCCACCAGAGAAGCCAGGGACTACATAGATGTAGAAAAAGATAACCTGCTTGCTGAGACAGATCCCGGCAGGCAGTGCTGAAGAGCATTGGCACGATGACTTTGTTAATTATATTGCTATTGTTGCTGCTGTGGGTTCAGAATTACAGCAGAGTTTAGACAGCTCGGCTGAGACCAAGACACCCTCATCCAGGTTAAATGGACAGGAAAGAATCAAGTATTTCTGCTCCTGTGTGCAAATACAAGGTCTTGATCCTGGAGGGGCTAGCGCAAGCACTTGGATTTTAGCAGCTGACTCCCTCTGCTGAATGGATTAAAGTTAACGTATGCACACAGCTCCTGGCAGAAGCGCTACCAGAGAGATGCAGCAGACAAGGGAAAGGGAAAAGGAAGCGTAATTACTCCCAGGAGGATTCGTGCATTGCCGCCGCCGTCTCGCAGGCTGCACCTGTTATGAGAAGAAGAGTCTTTAATTCTCTAGGGAATAAATCTTGAAAAGTTCCCGGCAGTAGGCTTGAAATAAAGGAAGGGAAATAGATTTCAGCTTCAGATTGCGCCAAACGGTTTGCTTCGATAAAACTCTTTTCACCAGGATGCAGATTTGTAAAAGGCAGCAAGTTCTTTGGCACTGCCCTTTTCAGTGCGTACCTGATAAAAATGGCATAAAAGGGCTCATCCAGGCGCCAGGGGCACGGAAGGACAGACGGAAGGACAGCCCCACACTCTGCCCTGCAAAGGCAGAGTTGTGCTCTGCTGCCCTTTGCTGTTCTCTCACTATTTTTCTTGGATCAGGGGACCTTTTTTTTTTTTCCATCTGGATTTTTCTAACAATTTGTATAAGCTCATCATGCACAACAGTCAATTAGAGCAAATTGCTCTTAGACATGATCACTCAAGCACAGCTCGTACTGGGGAGGTGGTGTCCCCCCCATCATTCTCAGGGATGATAGAAGCAACACCTATAAGTGCTGGGATAGCACTGGAATACAGAGGTAACTAACTCCTGGTTTCTCCGTTATGATCACCTAAGGGACCTCTAACAAGCAATATACTTATAAGACCTCAGTGTCAAACTTCCAGCTCCAGGAGTAAGTCACCAAATAATCATGAAACCGAATTGGAGCTTGCGAGCATTTTAAAAATAATCAGGACATGGGGGATCCATTCCTTTTTGTTTGTGAGGCCAGAGTGGAAACTTAAATCATATTCCCAAGGTTTATGCTGTTACTAAGAGGCCTAGGAACTTTTTTTAGCCTAGTTTCCTAGAGAAACAAAGTTTATATCATCATGCTGTCTGTGTATCTTCCTGTCTTCCTGTTTTCCTTCAGCAGTTTTTGAAACTGCTAGCCAAGCTGTCAAAGGAGGAGAAATCAGGGACAGTAATGTCCGTTTTTGGTTTTGTTTTGCCTTTTTTTTTTTTTTTTAATCATTAATAGGGCAGGGGAAACAAGCTGCTTTGATCCATGCCAAGCAAGAGGCAGGGAGAGCCCCACCTTTTCCATTCAATCCAGAAGTCAGTGAGCACATGTGCGTGAGAGAGCAGTACCTAACCAAACTTCATAGTACCTCCGCCTCACATTACATCTTTCAGTGTAAAAAAAACTAAGACATCTACAGTCTCAGACCTCTGGGATTAATGGGAAACAATTACATTAACCACTAAAATCGCTACTGAATCAGGGCCTGTCAAATCTCATGCCTTGCACAAAAGCTTTGCAGAAGGCTGTTGACTAAAACTGTGAGACAAAAGTACAGCCCACAGAGATTAAAAAGGCATCTATTGGTGGAAACAGGTTCAAGCCCTGCTGATCACAGGTAATTGTCACTCCTCATATTGATACCCTGTGGTAAAATTACGATGAACATTTTGGCTCTTCAAAATCTGACAGGCTCGTACACATTCCCTTGTTCTCTTCCATAAAACAGTTTTATTGCATGCTTTAAAATATTCAGCAGAGTGAGTATTTTTACAGATTGCTAACCTGAAAATGGGCACGTAAAAGGGCCGCATATTTGAGGTAACTCAGTTTAATAAATTGCTTTGAACCCCCAGTCTCTCTCTCTCAAAAAAAAAATATCTCTAACTAGGAAAAGAGCCTCCGCCCCTGTGATAACATTAAAGGCTTCAAGCTGGAGAAGATGGTCAATGTGTTTACCATAGAAGAGTAACAAATTCTGTATTCACGGGTATGCCATTCAGCCCACCTTTTCTCCTTGGGTTGAGTACAGAAACTGGACCAATAATTTTCTCCTGTGGTAGTTTGTAAATTCTCATCTATTAACAATAACCTTAAAAATGAAGGTGCATTGACATCTTTAGGTGCAAAAGGTAGGGAAGTTGCTCCTTCAGTATTGGCCGGCTGCCTTTATAACCGAAGAGGAGATGTCCCAGGAGGTGATTCAGATCAGGAATCCCGCTTGGATATTCTGAGTCGCCTTCTGCCTGGGCTAGTCTCCCTCCACAGAAAGACAGAGGAAAAAGCTTCCTGCGTTGAAGTTCAGTGCCCAGACATAGGCAGCTCAAGTAGCCCCCTGCAGCTCCCAATCACGGAGAGCCTGCTGATACATCCCTTTGCCTCCCTCAAAGTGGTGGCCCAGCCTCAGGGAGTCTCAGGGAGCCACCGACCCCGTGTCCCACCAGCCGGGGTCCCACTGCCTCACCCCCAGCCTCTGGGCAGCCCCTGTGGATGTGCCCGAGATGCCAACCTGGCACCCCGGCCACCGGCCCATGGCAGCCCGGCGCGGCTGAGGTGGGGGGACCTCTGGAGATCCTCCTGCCCAACACCCAGCAACAGCAGGATGCTCAGGGCTGTCTCCTGCTGGGTTTTGAACATTTACTGGCCGTGCAGAGTGCTAGAAAAACACACCAGGGGTGCTACCGCAGCAGTTACTCTCTGCACAGTCCTGGATATTGTCTTTGCTGCTGCAGTTGTCAAGAAATGAAAGAGGGGGGGGGGGGAAAAGTGTTTATGAGCTCTGGCAATTATCTGCAGAGCTGCACTTTTATCTCCCCTTACCCCATTCACAAGGCAATGTTTAGAAAACTACCCTGATACAAATCAAATCTTGATCCTTTGT